ACTCCTCCCACCCATTTTAAATTCTGTTTTAATCTTTGATATATTTTCTTTATCCCTGAAGATACTGTGTATCTCTGGATGCTAACTTATATCACTTGTATACCTGCCTTATGGATGGTGAAAGATCGACCCTTGTATTCCTGCAAAAAGTTCTGTAATGCATCCAAGAAGCAATAAAAACAGTGGAAGTACATTGGTCTCAATGAGAGATGATGTAGGAACTAATACACCTTTAAAAAAAAAAAAAAAAAAGCTTTCATTATGTAGAAAAAAAGTTGAGGCTATTATACGTTCACTCAGAAAGTAGGTATATTAAATTATAAATCATGCTTGTGTGTACCAGTGATGAGTTTAATAAATAATTCACCCAAGCATAAAATTAGTAGCTGCCTTGTATTAACAGATAGATATATATTCTTTATAGCCTTCTACCTGTAAGTCTGTGTAACCTGTAAAATTACTTATTTTGTTACATCTTACTTTATTCCAGCGTATCATTTCTATGTGATTTGGTAATCCATCACTAATGTGCTTTTCTGCTACTGAGCTGTCTTTTTGTATCAAGTGGATGCTTTCTATAATCCATTCCACTTGGGGCAGAAAGTCAAAGATGAGCATTACTTTCAAAGGGCTCTGTATTCTGATTGTCTGCCCAGCACTGAGAGTGCAAGCAAATATTAACTCTCTTACATACCAAAACAGAAAAACAAAATCTTTTCAGCCTCTCTTTTCATGGTTTACATATTCAAAATTTCAAATTACTGTTTCATTGCTTTTTCTATACAGCATGACAGGTCGAAGCCTAGAAAAACTACCATAAATGAAATGCCCTAAGTAGGTCTAGGTATTTCCATCAACGGCAAAAAGAGGGAATTGTTGTTATATCTTTAATAGTCAAATTAACATTGTAGTGTCATAACTTGCAGTTTGCTTTGATTTGCCTTTCTCATGTCCTTCAGGAAGGGCTTTGTTTCCGACCACGAGCTAAAAAGCCTTTCTGTGCTGGGCTGCTGTTGTAAGCAGATGCCAGGCACAAAAGATCCTGATGATCTCGGGATCTTTGGATGCCTTTTGCCTCACAGCAGTGGCTTGTTTTGATGTGGTCATGGGAGTCTGTACTTATGTAATTATTGAATAAAAGCCAACATGCTGCAGCTAGAGGGACTTTCATGAGATTTGTGCTACTAAATTCCTTAACTTATTCCAAAGAGAACGGATGTTTGAAAGCTTCCAAAACACAAATGATTTGGTTAAGTTCCAGTTCTGCAGAATTACATTTTCTGGGTCATCTAGTGAATTTGGGGCCAGTGCAACAAGGTGTGCAGGCTGTGTTTCTTCCTGCTGGTTGTAGAGCACCACAGTGACAAGATGCTCTAAGAGTCTAATTAGAGCATTTCCTATGTGAAGGTGGATCTAATTTAGACAGCAAACATGTGGTGTTACATAAGGGAACAAATCTGTTTTCACTCAAGAATGGGTAGCTTGGGAAAGCTAATGCTTATAACAAGAAAGATAAAGCTGTGCAAATTTTGTGAGCAGTAAATACATATATACTCCAGACCTCTTTTGGGGAAGAGAATACCAAATGATTCTTTTGTTTTTTTCAACATCCATTTTTTTCCTGGCATCTGCAAATAATAAGAGTTGGAAATTAAGAACAATTATTGCAATTTGTGCATGTTAGAATAAAATCAACGTGTAAAATTGTACGTTTAAATAATACCTTTAAGGCTACACAGTATTACAGACACTGCCATTATATATATGGTACAATAATGCCCTTTGAACTGGGAGAAACCCTCTAGACATTTCTGTAAAGGAAATGAAAGGTAACAATAGACTCAAATAGGAAACTGCTCTGAAAATGAAAAGTAGTTGTAGAAGCTTCACTGGAAGTAATTATAAAGAATGACTTTAAAGAGAGTGAATGATGATATATCCTCCAGGAATGACGTTTAACAGTTAGTGCAGACTAGCATTAATAAACAGTTATTTGTGGAGAAAGGGGAGCATCAAACATAATGTGGAAATGGAAGAATAATTTCAAAAGTATTGTGTTGCTCCCACTGTATTAAGTTCTGTTCCAATTTGGTTTTAAACCCAACAGATCCTTGAAATTTTGAAAAAAAAGGAAAGAAAAAAAAAGTCAGGGAGGAAAAAAGTATGTGTTTTAGGTAGGGAAATCTCAAGTATCCCCATATTTTAACAATCGGTGTTAATTTGCTCCAAAATTTTAATCAAAGATTCAAGAAAAGGAGCAAGTTCATATGAAATATTTGCAGTGTATGAGGTTTGCGCATTCAGAACTTTAACAATATTCTGTATTTCATTTTCCTTTCAAAATTGTTTCCTTTCAAACTGTTTTGCCAGTTTTCAGTTGGTGTAAAAGATGCTGTCCTTTTTGAAAAAGCATAGTCAGTTGAAATTCACTGCGGTTGCTGTTTTTAAAGATTTTTATCCTATTTTCCGAACAACAAGTTCTCCAACAAGTCAGCGGAGGAAAAAGCAGCTCAGATCACTGCTGCAGCTGCCTCTTCTTGGAGTGGGTGGCTCTTTTATGCAATCCCACTGCGCAGAGATTAATGAGCTTTTGCAGAAAACTCTATACTTGGGTGATAGCAGTTCTGCCAAAGACACTGGGTGGCTAAGCCAGACTCCCAAGCAGGGGGCAGAGATGAAAAGGAAAGACAGGACAGCAGACATGACATGTCTTATGCTTCAGTCATTCGGGTTGTAGCCAAAACTGTTGGAAAAGTGGTGTCCCGTGAGGGTTCATTTTGTTGGCCCAGGGCAACAATCCAGCCCTGGGCAATGCAAAAACAGTGTCATGAGGAATCACACAGTCCCAAGAACACACAGTGGTAGAGCCGTGTCTGCTGTGCCCCTCTCTTGGTGAGCTCTTGGCTCCCAAGAAGGGGGCAGTGGATGCATCTTCCCTTTGGGTTACAGATTAGCTGTGTGTTTGGAACGTCAGTTTGGGCTCATTGATTTCTGGTTCATTTCTGCTATCTGGATATTTGGGGTATGACCTTAAGTAGGTGGCCACTGCTTGGCTCTTTTTCTTAGGCTTTTCTGTCTTTGACCTTCGAAGACTTGTTATAAGTGGCTGAATGTTTCTCACAAGCCCTTAGAGCTGTCACAGCACAACGAATCTGGTGCTCTGGCTTTCCTGAACACATGTGAATGCCTGTGCCGAAGGAAGGTAGCACTCCTGCACATGGCTTTGCCTAGTTGTGTGATTCAAGGGGCTTTATTATTAGTTCTTTCAACTATTTTCTCTGTGTAAGTTTAAAAGAAATCATCTGTTCCTTCATCATCTTTTGCTGAGAACATTTTATTATGTTACAAGACTTCAATATAGAAGGAAGAATCTTTGCAGTTTTCAGCTGGTCTAGAAGCTGTTTTCCTGCCTTCCTTTTTAGTTCTGTTTACTCCTTCAAGACAATTATTGTAACAAAATACTTCTGCAACTCTTATATTGACTCTTGGATTTTCCATTTATAGGTGTTATTTTTTCCCTGCCTATTGTTAATATTTAAGCAATTTAGCTGTAATTGTTCCAGTTATGTTTCATCACTAAATTTCCTGCAACTGTCTTGCTGTTCTTCCGCTCAAGGGGATGTGTTTTGATTCTATCATGGTAGTTGAGCAAACTTCTCTTCACTAGTGTGTGTCCTACAGCAAAACCAAGCATGCAGTCTGGTAAAGTTCAAAAATGACAAAGGTTTTCAGGAGACAGTAGCAAGTACATAAAGTTTGTCAGATGGTGTGGCATTTGATAGGCAGGAAAATGCAAAAGAGGAACTTGGAGAAGATGCATTATAAGTGATCAAAAATGGTGGTATCTGCTTTAGATAACTAAAAGCATTTAGGGTTGGTTGGTTGGTTTAGGGTATGTGATTGTGTCTAACAACACATCAGTTGAAGGCCAGGTTGCTGTTCTTGAATACAGAATGTAATCTGATTTGGCTCTATGTCAGACTGAATTTAAAAATTACTGCATCAAACTTGGGTAGGGAGCTTCCTTACTTTCCTGGTCTTGGAAATTAGAAGTTTTTCTGACGACTTTGCCAGCCTGGTTCCCTGTTGCTGCAGTGTTGTCAATGAGCATCTTCTCTGTGACTCTCAGTGAGGTTTGTCTCATGACCTTCACATATATCTCTTCCTACACTCCTGTGCATTAGTTCTGGAAGATGCTGAGGTATGTATCTTGCTTTTCTTAAAAGCAAGTGTTTTTCTGGAGGACAAATTTCTGGGACCTTAAGCTTTCAAGGCAGCAGTGAGGAGAGGTAGTCTGTCATATGTAAAAAGCTTAACGTGGACTATAGTTTGGGCCTGTGTTCCAGGTAGGACTTTCATGAATATTCAGACCCTGAAGGGGAGCAAATTTTGCCTTGCCTGTTTGGTTAGCTTTTTTGAAGCAAGGTGTTCAGAACCCCTACAGCAGGGGAGGTATATAACCAGTTAAATTCTCCTTCAGTATGACTTTTCTGATGGCTGATTTGTTTTCTTCTGTCCCATTTATGGCACAGCCGACAGTCAAGGCCTTGAATTTGTCGCCCAGTCACTTTGTCTTGTTAGGGATCTGCTGTGATCCTTAAAGGTTTGTAGGGATGATAAAGAGGAGCATTTACTTTTCTTTTTACACTGTACAGTTGCAGACAATTAGTGTAGCTTGCACAGCAGAAATGTATTTGCATGTATCTAATGAAGTAACTAGGTGTTATAAAATAACAAAACCCCTTATTTCCCAACATAAACTGTATTTTCAAATAATTTGACTACTTCTGCCAGTAGCTGTCAGTAATTAAATTGATAGAGAGACAGTTTAGTGTGACACGAAGTTTGAACACATGAGTCTGCATTCAGATCCATGCATCTTCCGTGCATTTGAAGAAAATGAGTTTGGAAGTTTTTCAGTATAGTTTGGTTATCCAGACTGTATGAAGAATTTCATCACACAGAGAATGTTTTTGCTTTACTTCTGACTTTTCTTGTAGCTGCAAGAGAATCCATCTGGTTAGAAAGAGAAGAGAGGGCACGGCAACACTATGAAAAGCACTTAGAAGAACGCAGAAAGAAACTCGAAGAGCAGAGATTAAAAGAAGAGAGAAGGCGAGCTGCTGTAGAGGAAAAGAGAAGACAGAGGTTAGAAGAAGATAAGGTAAGAAAAATGTCCTGAAAACTTTGTCTGCTTTCATTTACTGTGAGATAGAGTAGCTTAAAACTTTCAAATAAAAAGTGCTGAGGAGAGATGTGATGTAAGTCGCAGTCAGTGTAAGAGCTCAAAAGAGAGAATTTTAAGCTGTACCTCCACAGATACTCCTTAAAGTGCCCTCTACAAATTTAATACAGATAAGTTAAGCAGGTCAGGGTTACAGTGTATGGCACAGCACAAACGTGCACAGAAGGGTGGAAACAAAGTGGGTGGTTCCTTTTTGACCTGCTCTGGATTGCTAGCCTTCCAGCATAACGGGAGCTAAATCCTAGCTTTCTTCTAAGAAAGCCTTGAAGAAAGTGAGGAATTGTATTGAATAGACTTTTGGCTAATCCATCTCGGGTGAATGGTAATTACTTGATGCGGGATCCTCGGTAAGTCACCTCATCCTTGTGTCATCTTTTTCTTTCTTCTCCCTGTTGCTTTAGTAGGTAGGAGATGCAAGGGGAGAAACAGTGTTATGTGTTTGTGTGGTGCCTACCATAACGGGGCCACTATTTTTTTCTGCAGCTCTGTACAAGGCTCAGCTCCTACCTTTTCAAAATTTCAGTTAATGATTGAACTTATTTCTGGCTTAACTACTGCGTTATCATGGTTCGTCTGAGTGCGTGTCTTAGCAGGCAGCACTTAAGTTTGAACACAGCTCCAAGATGTCTAATAGTTGTTGTCTGCGTGGAGGGTAGCAGAGTGTGATGAGAAGATTCGTTTAAAAGCCCACTAGCATCCAAACATATTATCCTGTTGCACTTAAGGAACGACATGAAGCTGTTGTACGTCGCACAATTGAAAGAAGCCAGAAGCCAAAACAAAAGCAAAACAGGTGGTCCTGGGGAGGAGCGCTACATAGCAGCATTAATAACACAGGTAAAGGGGGAAGCCTGGCTGCCTTGCCACGTTCCCTGCCCTGCCAGTTAACTGGAATGAATTTACTTTGCTTCTGTCGAAAGGAAGGATGATGCAGTGTCTGTTGGTTTCAATTGTTTAATCTTGATCTTACTCTATTGCTAGCAGTAGCCTGTTTCTGAAATACTTGTGTGGCAAAGAGATAACAAGGAGAAATCTGAACTGAAACTAAAACTTGTCTCTAATTCTATCTTGCTACAGCTTCTCGCTTCTGCTGCGTTGGTATTTGTGTGTGTGTGGGTACGCTCGTGCTGTCTTCGTTCTCCAGTACAAACTGAGGGGTGCAAATGTTAAATATCATGGCTACTTTCTGGTGGAAATGACCAAATATAAACATTTAAACAGACAGGAGGAAGAAAAATTGTTTTTCTGTGATAAACTCTCCTTAATATGTTACACAGATATTCACGGAGACTTTTTCTCCCTAAAGGAGCTTAAGGGTGGACAGATTAAGTGAATTTAGCTCCATGCTTTTTTACCCAATTATCTTCTCTGACTGAATCTGCCAGTCATTAGTATGTGTATGCCTTCTTAAATGTGACTGTAAAACAAAAGAAGATAATTTGTGTCCCTTGTTTCTTTCACCAGAAAATCGTAAAAAGTCTTCGCTTCTTTCTTTAACATATACATTTCAATGCATACAGCCCTTCATGACGGATTAAAAAAAAAAGATGAGAAAGGAATTGCCTGACATCTATTTTGTCATATTATTAGTTCAATAAATAGTTATTTTTCATAAAACTTCATGTTTGTTATTTTGCTTAACTCTGTATAACTTATTTTCTTTTCTGTGAAAAATCATTGTCTTGCATTCTGTTCCTAGGTTATTTTTTTGAATCATCATTCACCTTTCTCGATTTAGCAGGCCTGGAGCACCACTTCAGATCTCTGAGTGGTGCTAGAAAACCTGGTACATAATCGCTGTGGTTTGTTGATTCCTTTGCCAATAGCTAGTGCTCAGGAAATGAGATCATTGGTAACTAAACCACTCTCATGTAGATGCAATGCATGCTTAACATCATGCTCGTAGACTAGAATTGTTATTAGCCCCTGATTATATGTTTTTTAATACTGAGAGTTATTACGGGTTGACTTCAAAGATTTGGCACAGTTCTCTAAAATTAAGCATAACATTTTATCTATTAGAATTCAAGGAGATCCTTCTTTTTTAAAAAACTTTGCCATATGCATGTGGGTTTTATGTTTATTTTGAACATGACTGTGGGCACGCACAAGTCGACGACGTGTGCTGATACTTTGCTCTAGTGTATTTTTATTCCTTTTTAGAGCAAAGAAAGCAGCAATCTTCTAGCCCATCTTGTGGCTTTTGGCATATTGTATGTTCACAGCCTTTGTTCTCACACAGATCCTCATGGTGAATTCTCTTCATTAAAAAATAATGTTCATGCTCAGCAGAAATGTTGACATGACAAATAACAGGTGACTTCCATAGTGTCATTGGTCTTCAAAAAGCTCCCAGTGCAACGTCTCTCTTACACCAAATGCAGAAATATGCTCTGTTGTTGTTGTGGGGGTTAGTCCCACGTAGTGGTGTGTGATATCAGTTGGTTGATATCACTAATGAAAATCCCCACGTCATTCCCACAAGTCCTCTTCTGACTGAGATCTGTGGCACCACGTGAAGCTCAAGGATCCTGTCTCCAGATTTGACTGGTGCCGGATGCTCTGCTACCAGATACCCATGTAGATCAGTGCAGGATAATCTCATTACTTGCCTACAAATATCTTATTCTTAACCTTGACGTTTTAGGTTCATCTCTTAAACCTGTTTGTTAGGTTTATCCCCCTTCCAGTGCTCCATTTGTTAGTATGGAAAATATTCTTGTCTTCAGTGTGAGTTTCCAAACCCTGAGTCACTTTAGCATTAGGCAAAGTGATCAAATAACTGCACAGAGGAGGAGAGCTTTTCTTCCTCTCCTCACCCTGGCGTGGTTATTCCTATATACTGCTGCATAGATCTGAGTGCAGATGCTCTATTTCTGTGCAGTTTTTAGCCACAACAAATACACTTTAACCCACTGGGTCAGAATAGTTAGTTACAAAATTGAAGTACTTGTCCTAAAGAAACATGGCAAGTAACCTCCAGAAACAACCTTCTTTAATGCTGGCAGTTTCCTGAGCTTGTGCCTGCTTACAGCAGTGCACGTGGACGTCCCTGGGGATGCACAGAATGTGAATGAGCAGAGTGTTCAGGCACGTGCTCCAGCCTTACTGCTTTTCAGCGGGCTTAAACGCTGCGCTGTGTAGTCTTGAGTGCAGCACATGCTAAAATGTAAGCAAAGAAGGAACTGGCTTTCTCAATGTCTTCTGAGCGTCAGACTTCTGAATAAAAATTTGCTAGGGAGGGTATTTAATTGATGCACTTCAACTCTTTATTTTTTTCCCTTTTGAGGGAGAAGGGAACGCACAGAACTTGCCTATTCAGCTCGTTTCAGCTCATTCCTCTGCTGCTAATGCTAACAATTTTTGCAGCACACTCACGCAGACATATAGGTGTGATCTGTGTTCTTGAAATAGCTGTCACTCTTGGGGTGTCAGCGCTGACTCTGCAGCAAGCTGAGCAGGCAAATGATGTAATGTAACATGGTGCTCTAAAATCTATAGAGCCGATAAGCAAAATAAAGGCCTTTAATATTATATATAAAGCGTGTGCATTACAAATTGTCTGTAGTCTTCCACAGAGACATTTTTTGTTATCTGTTATGCTGTGTGCAGCATCGAACTGCCGAGCTATGCCCTCAGTTATAGAAGGTAGAAAATGACTCTGTGGTGGGATACTCAGCACTTATCTAGAACTGTGGAGCATTAACTAACTCTCTGAAGTCCTTTTGGGCTGAGCCTTACTTTCCTCGTGTACTAGCCTCCCTTCTCATCTGTCAGTCTCTCAGCAGTGCATTGTCATGACACTGACCTCTTACAACAGTGCCCGGTCAGATATCATCCTTGACCCAGGTGCTGCAGTGCTTTTTTTTTTTTTTTTTTTTTTTTTTTTATGAATAGCATTTCTGAGCATGTTGTTCCTTCCATGCTGCTTTCTGTTTGGGCTTGAGAGCACAATTTTCCAAGACTCCTGAGAGGAACATGTACACTCCGCTTTGCTAGCAGCCACTTCACCTTGACCGCTAAGTCCTTGGATTGCAATCTGATTGAATGACAATCGATGAACGGAGTGTTTTGGACATTTGAAATTTAGATTGGATGGTTGTGTGCCCAGTCTTTGAGTCACCTGTTACAGTGTGTGCTGAGAAGCCCTTTCTATTTTGAAAGTTCTCGTGATAGAGCAGAAATGACCCAGTCATATTTTCCTCGCCCTGCTAGTGAGCTAGGAAGTTGCATTGCTGCATGTGGGCTGTCAATTAGCATTATCTCCATTTGTTTTAGATCCAGACAGGCGCTCTGTTTCAACAATGAACCTTTCGAAACATGTTGATCCAGTCATTAACAAGCGGCTCTCCTCCTCATCTGCAACATTACTAAATTCTCCAGACAGAGGTACAGTTTAATAATAATAAAAAAAGAGAAAAAGAAGAGCAAGAAAGAATGTTCTGTACTGAGATTTTGCTTTGCACATGAAACAAGCGTCCGAAGTCATTTTCTGTATTTTATCTAAATGAAAGTGGAAAGACTTCGCATGTGGAAAGTAAATGGTTGAACATTTTTTCTGCAAGAAGAAATGTGCATTTCTTGTTTTATAGAACAAGAGAACTTGCCTGAACAATCTTGTTTCGTCAAATAATAACTGTGGTGCTTCTGTCAGGTTTTTAGTAAATGAGGTTCAGCTATTGAAAGAACACATCTGTCCACGGTGCATGCAGCCATTTGTGATTTTTTATTTGCATTAGGCCATTTTGACATTATTTTGCTTTTCTTTCTACTTTAATAATATTTTTGAATGTCTAAGAACATGTGGCATGAAGCTTTCAAGCAATTATTTTATTATCATCGCTGTGGTGCTGTTTCTTTTTTGTTTTGTATTTAATGAAGATGTTTAGGTGTATGGGTATTTTTCTGTTTATTGACTTTTTTGTGTCCAGTTAATTTTCAAGGATTGCTTTATTTCAGTGTATGTTTTCAGTGTCTGCGGGTCTGCACAAATTATATTTTTAAAGTCAGATTTAGAGAAAAATATTGTAGTTGAATTACTGCTTTTTTGTAAGGAGATATGAGATTGCATAAAGCTATATGAGAAATTCTTTATATAGTTATTCCAAGCTCAATGTTCAAAGAGCTTTATGGAAAAATATTCTGTAAAGTTGTTTCCCCAGCCCACTGAGAATGGGGAGAAGTACTGGCCCATTTCAAGGCAGATTAATGCCTATCTTCGAAAATTCTTAGAATGCAGTTTTGGTTGTAGAGGGTAACAAATTGGTAGGTGTCATTATTTGTGCATCTTAACTGCTGTGCTTTGTGTGCATGTTTGTGTGTGTGTTTCTGGTTGTTTTGACCAGCAGTGCTTCAGGGCTTAATGGGTTAATCTAGTTGTAGAGGCTGCCATAACTTGAGGAAAATACAGCATTATCTGAAAAATTACTTACTCCAAAGCACTGTTTTGGTGGACTTTTAAGTACAAAGACCAGGCAGTTTTATGTATAATGCCTTAATATGCGGTTGCCACCCTTAAACCCTGGGCAATTGCTGTTCTTTTCCAGGGATGCTAATTTGAGGAAGTGCCTTGGAGAAAAGGACAGCAGCAGGCCTTAAATAGGAAGGATAGTCTGTTACTGACTGCAGCTGCCTGTGTGACAGTCTGCTCCACTTAGTGCAAATTTACAAACGCCCTCGTGCAGGTGCAAGGCTTCCTGTGCCCCGGTCTAGTTCAATACGTGTTGCAGAAGGGCAGTTGGCCAGTGGCAAGTGCTTCAAGGCAGGGTTCACCCGTGTGCCCCCTCCCTCCCCATCCAGAGGGCACCCAGTCCCGTTTTGTCCTTAACAAACATGCCCGCTCCCAAAGCCGGGAGCTGGAGATAAGAATGATGGGCTTATCCTAAGTGGCTTACAGCCGTCAGCAAGAGCGTCTCTTCTCTTGAGCAGTATTGGTTTTTACCATTTGAAGGACGAGTGGCTTTTGCTGAAAACAACTTTTTTTGTTTATACAAATTGTCTAGAAGATTGGTTAATAACTTTTAAAGTCTACCATTGTTGTGTAGCTCTCACTGCAACTTGAAAATCAGTTAAAATAGGCTTGTTGCTGTACTTTTGTTACTGGCACAGGTGCAACTTGTTGAATCTTTGTAAAAAAAATGTAGTTAGTAAACAGCTCAAGTGGAGCAGTTGACTAATAACATTTATTTGCTAAGTATATTATTTTACTTGAGGTAGGAGATGCACGCTTCCTTGGCTTTGAAAAGCAGAATTTGCACCACAATTGTGGCCTTCCTCCTCCCTGCTGTGCTCTTTCTTTCTAAACAAATGGTGGTTTTAATCACTGCCTCACCTTTGTGTCTGCAACATCTGTAGCAGAAATGCAGGGCCTCTGATATTGTCTGCTGGTGAAAGGAGACCTAGAGGCAGAAAGCCCTTGCACCCCTCCTCCCTGTGTTTGGAGCCTGGTCTGAGCAGGCACCAGGGCTGTGGTGAGAGTCTGTCCTTTGAGGTGCTCATCGGGAGAGCTGTTAAATCCCTGCCTCCCATCTGTTCGCTGAATGAACCAGAGGTGCTCTTGTGCTTGCTCACAATTTATTCTGCTGCTGCTAGGGCAGCTTTCCAGTGCGCAGCTTGGATATCTTGAGGACAAACACAAGTATTTGTAACCAATTCACTGTTGGCAGCTCCTTGAGATTGATTTTGTTTGGTGGGGAAAGGAGGTGATTGTGGGCTTTTGTTTTAAGTTTTATAGTTTTATTTTTGTAGTCAAAAGTTTAGCAATTAAGGCCTCCTTTAACTAACCTGCTGGGAGCTGGGGGTACCCACACCAACCTCCACCACCAGTGCGCATCTAATGTGGGACTGAGGAGCAAATAGCCCTTAGAATGGTAGTCTAACACTGTATGAGAACAAAAAAGAGCTTTTCCCCTTCTCTCTTGGGTGGTTAGAACAACAAAGGTTTGAAAACATCTCCCCGAGGCTTAAAAAAAAAAAAAAAAGGCAGGAAAAGAAAGCAAATTCACTATTTTAAAGCCACTCTATTTTGGGATACACTTACGTTGTTTGCTCAGCTTGCTTCAGTGGGAATTGGATGCCAAAGTTGAGCTGTTTGAAGCATTTAAGTACTAATACTGCTGTAACTGGAATTCAGAGGACCAAAATTTATTTGGACGTTCTTGGTTAATGTTGATGCTCATGACTGGTTAAGAGTATATGTTAAAAATGTTAATCATGGTGCTGTGCATTTAGATAATTTAACAAGTAACGCAGTGGCCCACAAAGCCAAGCTGAGTGTAGGTGATGAACTCTGATTTAAACCCATTTTAGAGATTTAGGGATACAGCCAGTCTGAGCTCCGGGCTGTTCTTTCAAACGTCACTTAGAGAGCAGTGGGTTTGCCCGTCCCTTAGCTCACCAGCACACGGTGACGAGCCCCTCTCGATCCCGAATGCTGCCCTGCTGGCGGGCGGCTTTGCTCCCACTAGGTGACGTGGATGAAGGGAAAAACAGAGTTAAACCGTATCTGTGTCATGTCATCTGCCTAAAGGCAGACGGGTGCAGGCTGGATCCTAAGAGCGCGTTTTCCTAGTTGTGGCCACTTAAGATCGTTTGTGGTCCTGGCCTCGTGTGGGAGGGCTGCAGTTGGCCCACTGAACAGTGTTGTGTGGTAGCGTTTGCTCTCTGGCTCTCTGCAAGTGCACAGTTACCACCAAGGAAGCCATATACAGTAGTGATTTGCTGGCCCCAAATTTGAGAGATCCTTTTCTAAGGTGTGGATCGGACTTTTATGCAGCGTTCTTGTTCTTCTGGTAACTTCCATGATTATTTTATTAAACTACACTAGATACAGTGTAGTAAACCGTAGTACAGACTTCAGCATTTTCTTGTCTCTAAGCTTCATTCGGTAAAGCCTGAGAGCATACACACACGAAAAATGCTAAGAATAGCTAAAACAATGATCATATCAAGCACAATTCCCAGAAAAGGAAGGAAACAAAGATTCTGCCATTATTGCATCCGGTTTATCGGTAGTTCTGTGATTTTTTTTTCCTCCATTGTTAAATTATAACCTTAATGTGTGGAAGTCTCTTTGGGATATTTTCTATCTCTGTATAATCTGTACAGACTCAGAATGGAAGCATGAATTGCAAAGAGCTGTGGCAGTAGTAAAGACACTTATCAAGACAGCCTGCTGTGTTTGAGTCCTTTATGCCTATAGTGATGCCACTTACCGAGTTAGCAGAATTCAGGGGAGCAATTAGGGAAGTGGAAAAAAAACAGCACTGAGGGCAGATGAGGCAACTATAGTCTCCCAGGATAAGATTTTTGAGATGAGCCTCTCTTCATGGAGCCCAGCGTGGAATAAATGAAAGAGAGATGCAGCATTTATGGCTACTAAAAGTGATGTAACTCTACCTTCAAAAATGCAGATTAATCTCTAACCTCATACAGCCAGTTATTTCATGGTTCAGGTTGCAGTTTTGTTGTCATAGGCACAAAACTAAACCAAAGGGAATGTTAATGCATAGAAAATGCTTTATTTCTAAACATAAGGGAAAACTTCTTTACTGTGAGGGTGGCTGAGCAGCGGAAAAGGCTGCCTAGAGAGGTTGTGGAGTCTCCATCCTTAGAGATATTCAGAAGATTTTTGGAGAGGGACCTGGGTGATGACCCTGCTTGAGCAGGGGGTTGGACTATCTGATCTCTAAAGGTCTGTGCCAACCTCAGCCGGTCTGCGACGAAGGATCTGATTTTGAACACAATGTTAAGCTTGCGACCTAAGCTTACTGTAATGAACTGTTATGGGAACTGGCTGAAATTTTTTTTCTGGAGTGTTCATTATGATAACATTTTCTTTTTTATATACATCTGAATATTAAGGAAATATCCAATTCCCTTGAGCAGTAATTTATGGGTCGTTCTTGGCTACCATTTCACCATGATCAGTGTTTAAGTAGTATTTTTTAAGTATTTTAACAAATTAAAGACAAAGGGAGTACATTAAGAAGCTAAACTTGCAAATACTGAGGAAAGCTAGATGGGGGAATGATTGCAGGTAGGTCAACATGTAATTAGCCTCTTCAACAGAGGCTAATTAATCATTTAAAAAGTTGGCTTTTGCTGCTGTTCTAAGGTGAAAATTATTATAAGCAGGAATTCATGATCAAAAGTACATGCTGTTCTGAGACATTATGAATATCTGAGGCAACTGTAGCTGCTGTGTGGTATATGCAGTTGGAGGTGTATTGTATATTCTGAGGTGTACTTTCTTGTTCATGATTTCCCCAATTATTATTATTCAAGGTAATGTAGTCACACCTGGTGGCTTTGATAGAATCTCTTTCTCTGATATAATTCTGTTATACGAGTGACCTTGTGGCCTTTTATTTATTTTTAAGGCCTTTGTTCTTTCTATTTGGCTTGCAGACTTCATAAGATTTCTGTGTAGCTCACTTTTTTTTTTTTTTAAATTGTAAGACTGTATATCTTATATCCAGAAAATCGGGGGGGATTTTTTGAAACACCAACATCTCCGTCAAAGTTGATATCTAGGAAAAGTATCTGCTTTCCTGATTGTAGAAGTTACCTTGCCATTCCTGACAGAAGGAAAGGAGGCATGTATGCAAAACATCACTATGATTTTGATAGCAGTTTAGCAGAAGGTCACAGTCGGTAGCAGAAGTGTTCAGATATTTGTAGTCTTGGGGGAAATCCTGAAGTAAAATAGAGTAAGAATAAAATGTGAAAACAGAACGATCTTGGTCATTCAGTAAATTTTTGATCTCTGAAGGACAACTGCAAGATTCTTGTGGTGTATAATAGTGAGGTGTATGCATAGAGTGCCTGATCTCACCTCTTGCTTGTGTGGCCCACGCTCAGCTCGCCGCCTGCAGCTCAGTCCCTGGGAGAGCAGCATCGTGAGCCGCCTCCTGACGCCCACTCACTCCTTCCTGGCCCGGAGCAAAAGCACCGCCGCCCTGTCCGGAGATGCAGGTAAACCCAAAAAGGCCTCAGGCCTCAGCCACTTACTCCTCTGGATTCCATGCCGGCTGTTGTAAGGTTACTGTTGTGTGTGTACTATAGCATCCCAGAACAAGCTGGAAAACCTGGATTATGCTGCGCACCAGCATGAAAGCTTGTGGTGCCCTTCTGCTTGCTCTGCCTCTTCTCTGTCTGCCTTCACCCCTTTCTCTTGGTTTATCTTTTTGCCTCATCTGTGCAACAGATAAAACACCTGCAGCATGACAGTGTTGCACTAACTGTGGTGCCCTGGACATGGCTTCTATGTGAGGTACAGGTCCACAGCGAATGGTGTGTGCTGCCCTCGCTACTAAGAACAGTTTCCTTCTGTACCAGGCCACTTCCCACAAGAAACTTGTTGGATTTCTGGAATGTCAGACCCCTAGTTGTAGGGGATTTACTATGCAGAATGTTAAATGTGCAAATTTAGGAAAGTTGCATTTATTGCCAAGTTCTCTGTCAACTGCTGAACAGCTCTCTGATCTACTACAGAGAAGGAAATTAACATACAAAAATGGGAAAATGTTGCTAGGTGGTAACTTAAAGTCTAGGCAAAACAGTGTTTCAGAGACAACCAGGTCACTCTCTGCTATTGCGTATCAGGCAAAACAGTGTTTCAGAGACAACCACCAGGTCACTCTCTGCTATTGCGTATTGCAAGCAGGTGACCGTTGCATTTCTTGCATTTCTTTTTATTGTAAGGGTGTTTTTGATCATGCCCCAGGATTTTACCATTATAGGAATATGCTGCTACACATACTGAATCTTTAAATCTAGGCTAGTCTTTTATACGTCCCATGTGGACAGATCCTTATTTTGATTAAAGGACGTAGAAGGTAAGAGGGCATGAAGATCTGCTAAGATTACTTTTAAAGAAGCTTTCACTTAAGAACTCTTATTGCTAATCAGGTTCTGGTACATTTCCACAGGGGTAGCAATGTAGGAGGAAAAATGTAGATGATAGGCTGCAAACAGTACAATCGATACGTATAGATCTCTTCTCAAGGTTCGTATTCTAAAGCAACAGCATGTGAAATGAATATTTTATGTCATCTACAAACAGGAAATTGGTAATGCAGTCCTTTATCAAGGGGTAGTTGAGAAAGCCAGGTCTTAATTTTGTAAATGATTACTTAATGGAGAAAGTGTGTAGATTTTTCTGTGGCTGCTATTGCTATATGCTGACTGTAAACCAAGTGCAATATTGGGAAAGATTGCAAGTAGCTGGAATGACTGATGCATCAGCAGATTCACAGTAATTCCCCAGTAATGCCTTCCCTGTGCTAACTGGACCTGTGCCACCCAGAAGAATAATCCATCTGCCCGTTGTTTTCCAGGTTGATTCTCTAGGAGCAATAACTGCAGTCCCTTCATGCAGGACACTTCCTGGAGATTAATGACCAGGTGCTGGTAATGGCTCACAGCTGTGCTCTGAGCACTCAGCGCATCCCAGCCTGTCATTACATCCTAGGAAATTACCCTGCCCTTTGGCTGTAAAGATGAATTACAGTGTAAAAATCCAAATCAAATTAAGTATAGATTTATGTCCTTAAAATGTATGTTAAGTGAGCTATTATGGACATCAAGCATAAGAGTGGATTTTTTTTAATAACCATCAGAAACCAAAATGTATTCTAAAGTAACTCTATAAACGTACATGATCTCATTGGGAGTGCTTCATAAAGCATTGTTTGGCAACATCACAAATAAAAAATTAGCTGCTTGTTTCTTAATGTTTATGGTGTCATCCTCTGTGGTAACTTCAAATAATCAGCATGCATCGAGAGGATTGATTTACAGAGGGAGGAAAACTCTTACACAGTAAGCCCTTTAAAATACAGTGTGTGCCATTGCTTCCTGTCTGGGTTAGGGATGCTCAAACAAAAGTGAGGTTCTGTGTTATCTTGTTTGTCAGGTTTTAAGGCAGTCACTTTTTAATACATGATTAAACATACATCACCTAGCATGAATACCCTTGCCATTAGAGTCTTTTTTATTATTATTTATAATGAGTTCTCATTGTAGGAGAATTGCAGAGTTTATGCTGTTAAGTTTGAGCTACTCCTAAACAGCAGTTTTGTTGTAAGACTCTGAATGTGGCACTGACAACGTGACAACTGGCACTGTGGTCTTTACTTGTGCTTGAAGGGGTCTCAGAGACGAGATTCCCCCCTTGCCCCCAGGGGTGGGGGAAGAGGAAAAGGGCTGACCCTAATAAAAAGGGAAAAGGTATCATAGAGCTGTGCTGTCTTCCTGAGAGTAGCATGCTGAATAATTGTGCTAAGACTGTAATAAATGGCCACGAGAGAAGGTACAAATAAATAAGAAAAGTTTCTGAAGTAATAACATAGTTTTTTCCCAGTCTAATATTTCAGATAAGTTGGGAGAAAGACCACGAATACTTGATTACTGCAAAACATTCCTTATGAATACTTTTGTAGTGTCGTTTGCTTTGAATTTGTAGTCTGAATATCCAAAACCTGATAATTTGCTGTTGGCATGAGATATTTTGCTAGCAGTCTTTGTCCTTGTGCAAATCCAAAGGAAGCTGCCATCGTGGTTAGCGATTCAGATGGTCGTTTCTAAGTTAATTTATTCTTGCTGGCTTTTTTTACAATGGGTGAAATAGTTGCTATCAAGAATGTAGTCAAGTCTTGTGTTCTGGTCACACAGAATACTTAAAACTCATAAATGGAACACCTTAAAAATGTCACTTGCAAAAATGTGTAGACAATGGCGAAATACTAGACTATCTATATTTTTGTGCTGATACTCTACCTTATTTTTATAATTAAATTTAAAATTATTGTATTTTATACTAAAATTCTTTTCTGATGGAATGCAGAGCAAAGCAATGTTTTCTAGATAGGCAAAAATATGTATTTAATATGCATTTTACTTACAAAATTTTAGCAGACTTTGCCAAGAATTTGCAAGTTTAACAAGCTATATGAATTTCTCTCCTTCATATTAAGAAATGATATTGACTTCCAAGACCAGACTATTCTCTGTAAATGTGGCGTGCTTTCATCTTTGTGTGCATCTGCTTTTATTTTCCCCCTGCTTCCAAGACGAGTTAAAAGGAAATCTAATTTTGGTTTGATTGCTTTCTATTGCAAGTATAATTGAATCTCATGTCAATGAATGTACTAAGCTAATCAATGACAGAATAGTCATTTCGTAACAAAAGCTTTTTCAGAACTGCTGGTTGTACATTTTAAAAAAAAGAAAAAAGAAAAAAAAACTTTGACAGGAAAACATCATCATTTTTCTACTGCACAGTTATGTAACATACCTTTTATTTTTTAAAAAATAAAGCATTAGCTTTTACAAATGTGCAAGTAGTTGACTGTAGCCTCTTAGAATTATATCACATCTACTTTTGTGGCCAACCTGATGCATCAAATGATGGTTCTGATATGAGAATTAATCATTCTTCTGTGTATTAATGCCTTCTTTTTCTGTCTTTCTCTGTCCCTACTCCTTGCTGGCTTTCCTCTGTCACTTCTCCTCCAATGCTGCTCTGTAATTAAAATGAATAAATAAATAAAAAACAACCCACACCGTAGTTATCCCCATTTGTCCCCGTTCAGCATCTTGCAGCCCCATCAGCCCTCTGTCCTACAAGGCCACGAGCTGTAGGAATTCAGCAGAGCGAGCGAAACTTTTTGCCTCCACGCCTGATGCTGTTGGCCGCAGGAGGACGGCGCATCCTGCCGGGGTAAGGCTGCCGGGTGCGCGTGGGCTACTGACGCACCCACCTCATCACACCCGTTACTGCAACAGGAGTCGTTACACTTGACTAAGGGTGTTTGAGCTGGGGCTTTGTCTGGGGGAGGGAGGCCCCCTTTCTGAGGATTTGCCTCTTGGTTCGTTGCCTTCTTGGCTGAATTTTGCTGCCTGAGGTGGTGGCATAGACTGAAATGCGATGCACCCATATGTGTGGGTGCATCACCCAAGCATGTAAACATCCATGTTTATTCCCGAGTGGACACCTTATTCCCCCGGAGGGCTAAGGAAGCAGTCAGGGTGTGTGCACGGTCCCATTCTCATGTGGATTCTTTGCTGCCTTTTAAGGCCCTAGCCTAAAGGTATGTTGTGGGGTGGGTGTTTTTTCATTTTTTTTTTTTTTTTTACAAAACCTCTAGAACTTCATATTTTCTTCATGAGGTCTTGGCAAGGCTAGGTGAGCCTGTGGGGTGCAGTGTGAGATGGGAGGAAGCACATACATGCACATGTATCCATGCACATAAGTACAAGTCCTTTTGGCTTCAGTTCCTTGGGACACCAAGCTAATAACCTTTCCTCTCGGAGAAAGTAGAGTGGATTGGGAACATGGCTTTGTAAGCAAGGTTTCCCACAGAGCACCAGTTCTGAGTGATTTGGTAGCGGTGCTGTGACTGATCCAGGCTTGTAGGGTACAGTGACACAGGCAGATCACATGCCTGCTGCCCAGGCTCCAGGCCAACGGCCACCTCCAGTTCAGAGGTTATATGCTGGATCTAAGCAGTTATATTTTGCCTTGTACTCCACATTTTGGCTCATATGGAGTTTGAGACGAGCAAGGTCACCTCAGCAGAAGGTCATGTAAGGGGTGCTGGTACTTCTGCCTGGTAGGCACCATCAGAAGAACAATGCTGCTATTGATAACCTTGTTGGGAGTAACTTTAGATGCAAGTAGCATGAATCACAGCTAGTGCTTAATCTTTCAGTCCAAAGATGGTGCCTTCAAGTTCAGGTTAAGGCACAGCGTTGCAGTGTATCTGTGGATAAATCTCATGCTCCGAATGTAGTTCAGTACAGTCCCCAGAGCCATTAGTTTGACGCCTTTCAGATCTCTCTAATTTCTTTTTTTTTTTTTTTACTTAAATAAAAAAGAAGAAACATTGATGCATTTTGGTGAAGGCAATCATGTAAAAAATATTACATTTTGAAAATATTTTCAATAGATGGTATATTGTGAAGATTATCAAGCTTCACTAGTAAACTTCTGCAGGAATTCTGTTCAGCTTTACCGATGCTGAGGAAAAATTAGCTGATACTCTGTCTTCAGGACACGTGATACAGATCCAGTACATGATTATTGCTAGTAAGACAAAATTCTGTTCCTCGTGCTCTATTTATCTTGGCTGCATATGCTGTGAAGAGTGGGATGATTGCTGTCATATTAACCAGCCGAGCTCTGAGAAACGCTGCTTCCTAAGAACTCATTAATTACTCTCATTGAGTAATGACTTCAGGATAGGGATTGTCTTATCCCTAGTAGTTAGTGGTGTTTTCGGCAATTTAAAATAACTAATTTTAACCTTAATGAAGCTCCCAAGATAAAGATAAATTAGGGATTTATGTGCTCATGAAATTGTTTTCCATCTTTCATTCCCAGTTGTCAAACTGGCTTTAAGCTCAGGAGAGACATGATCTTTGTAGAGCGCTTTTAAGCAGTGAGGATGTAAAGCAGTGTGATGCACCTGACCGAGTGGCAGCTCACTGTGCTCTTGGTAATCCCATGCTTCAGGTTCCCATGCACCTGAGCTTGTAATTCCAAGAACCTGACTTTTTTCCATCTATGTTTAGAGGGCGGAAAGGAGATAGATACCTAAATTTTGATGCCTTCCCAAGGAAGTGCGCTCAAAGCTAAAACAGAAATCTAGAAATCTTTTTGTATTTATATATGTATTTGTGTATGTATAATTTTTATGTATGCGCATACATATATTTACACATACATATGTATATAGATATAATTTTGTAGATCTCATCATGAGATGAGAAACAGTGAAGGAAAACATCCACCTCATGTAAGAATTATCTCTGAAAAAGCTCACATGGTGGAACTGGCCAAGAGAAGAGAGAACAGAATAGTTATTGTAGCACATTATCAGGACTTTGAGGTTATTTGTGGCATTGGCTTATAAGCAAAAAAGCAAAAAGGCCATGGGGGCTGTGTGAGGACCTTGGCTAAGCTGGAGGCTCGGGAATGGTTCTTTGTCCAGTAAGCCCAGGGTTTGTGGGGAGCACATGTTTGCTTTGGGAACAGTGGAGGGTACTGTGTGGCAAGTGGCAGAGAGCAAAGCTTAAAAGGTATTTTTTTCGCCCTTATAAATTATGTATCTGGAAATTAGCCCATAACATCTTAAGCAAAGAGCATGATTAAGAATATGCTTGTTGTCAAGTGCATATTTACTGACAAAGACCACATCGGATTTGTTACAGGAATTGTATTAATGAGCTTGTCAAATGGAATGTGGAAACAAACTCAGCACAACTTTTTTGCAGACTCCTCAGCCTCCCATCCCCTCATCCTTAACTGGGTTTGCTCTGCTTTCCTCAGCTATGTGAACTCTGGCTTGACTTTGTTTTTTTGTTTGCTGAACTGTAGACTGACAAAAAAGAGAAGGAGAGAGACCATTTGTCACCCAGCTTCTCAGCCACCTTTAAAGGAGGTCATTTTTCTTCCAACCCCAAAGCTAGATCACCAGCTCCCTCTCCAGTTTGGTAAGCCAAGTACATGTGTAGCTGGAGTTGCAGCTATAGCTAGTTTTCATGGTTCTAGTTGTTAAATATTAGTTTCACAGGAAATATCTGCACAAACTTGGTTTCTGATGTAGGTGTTTTCTCTTTGCAACAGAGTAAAAAAGAACAGCTCAGCTTTTAGAAAACTGTGGCTGTTGTAAGGAGGTGGAAAGGAGGAGGCATGCACCTGGTTTCTTCTCTCTTGCCTGGGCTCAGTGCTTATACGTCTGAAGAGTTGCAAAGAGGAAACATTCTGCACGAAAGTTAAACCTTTACTCTAACTGTGGTCCTTCTCAGAGACTTTATTTCATTTTTAGCTGTGGTAGTTGTAGAGGCAATGTAGGTGGCATCCAGGACAAGGTGCCTGGTAGTGACTGACATTCTTTCTGCTTGTGGTTCCCCAGGCACGCATCCAAGTCTCTGCCTTTTTTGCCTGGCACACCCAGGCAGGTAACTTCCCCACCAGCTGCCTCCAAAGCTTCCTCGGCTCAGGCACGTCCTCCCTCTCCTGGCAATATCCGGCCAGTCAAAAAAGAGGTCAAACCAGAGAGTGCGAATAAAGGACCTGAAAAGGAGGCTGAAAAGACCAGTGAGGAGAAGACAGAAGAGAGTAAAGAAACCTCAGCAGGCACTGGAGAATCTGCAAGTCAGGAAGAGCCCGTCGTGCAGGCAGAGCTCCCTCAAGGTAAGGAGAGATGCTCTTTTGGGTTAAGGAATGCCTGAGAGCCCTTCATGGTGTTCCTTCCCTCTCAGGAACAATGCTTGAAATAGTTTTCTGTTAAATGTTAATTTGAATTCCTCAGAACATTCTTGAAAATGGTATGTGCTGTTAGTTATAAGGAATTCACTATTCTGGTCTGAGATGTATGTATGTTGGGAGAAATTTATAAAAAAAGCTGAAGCCCTCCCAAATTTTTAGCAGGAGGAACAACATATAAACCTGCATTGCACCGGGTGGTTTCACTGTTCTTTTTTGCCCTTTTGAACAGGACTTTGACCCTCGTTAGATGATACAGCTTCTTTTCAGACTCTGAAACAGGAGTGGACTGAAAATTAATGATACAGGAAACTATCCCGTAAGGGTAGTGAGCACAGAGAGAATGTCCAGCTTTAGCAGACACTCAGTACAATGGTACTGAGAAAATTAAACTGTTCCTGCTTATCTATGTTGTTGCAAAAGTGCCACCTTTTGCGGGGAGAGTGGCAGGATGAAGTGAAATGCAGAGAAGAACGAGAAAAATTTTTCAGAGAAAAAGAATTTGAAGGGAAACCCTGAAAAGCAGCAAATTGGAAAAGGAACTATATGCAGAATAAAATAATCCTGATCTTGAAGTGTAGGAAGAGAGAAAGAAGAGATGCTCAAGCCTGCTAAATCTTCGATTTGAAACTTTAGGTTTGTTCTACAGGCATTTTAGACCATTATAAATACAGGATAAACTGTCTCTCTTAAGCTTGTAATAGAAAGTCTGTGTGACCACTGGGATTCCCAGGGTGGGTTACTTAAGATTCCGAATTTAACAATTTGCAGATCTCCCTGTGATAAGAAGATTGTCCTTCAAGAAGTTAATAATCCTGCTTTTAACTGCATAGCTGGGAGTTGTTCTCTAAGAGAAGACTTCATGAACTGATATATTTTGTTCTAATAATTTCTGTAGTTCCAGTCAGATACCCAGATCCTACCATGTTGTGTTCAGTCCCACAAAGAGCTTATAGTATGGATTCAAATAATAAACGGATATATTCATTGGTCATGGGCATTTAAAGAATGAGATATTCGGTATGACAGTGTGGGCTTTCACTGATTTTGTGATAAGCTTTTGTGTGCATCACAAAAAATAAGTGAAAGTTTACTTCTCATGGGGTATAACTTTGCACACGTTTATAAACTGCTTTCCAAGTGCAAGGTGCAGACCAGAGAAATATGGTGACTGTTTGACATTTTAGTTTACAGAGGGCAGGATCAGTCAATACCTGAGTGGTCTGTGACAAGGTCACCCAGTACGGAAACAGATTACAGGTGGTAAAAGGATTCAGAAGTGAAGTCATTAGTATTCATGACAGAAACAGGCAGAGGCACAAGGAGAGGGATGCTGTGATGGAAGTGATCAGCATTTTGGATTGGATATGTGTGTGAAAGCTGGAGGAGGTGGTAATAGTTGAGATCAAAGACAAGATCTCATCAATCTCAAAGCATTTTTGGTGCGAGATTAGAGGAGAGGTACCTGTACTGCAGGTGGAGGCCTCAGCTGCCAACTCCCAGTCACGAGTTGAACGTGGGAACGTGGAGACGGGCTATTTGGCATATGGGGTTAGAGTGCCATTGCTGAGACTTCTTAGGTGCAAGCTGCAAGTGAAAGGGCTGAATGCAGCCAGTTACCTAAACTGGCCTTTAATTTGTCTGGCTCAGCCACTGCTTGCTGTGTAGTCCCAGTAGCCGGGAGGTCAGCAAGGGTTGATCACTGGCAGAGCTACACAAGCTTCTGCAGCCAAATCTCTCATGACTAACTAACACCCACCCAAGTTTAAGGGTGTTTTGGGAGTGCCTATGCAAGCTGACAGCAGCGTAGGTGTGCGTGAAACAAGCTACTTGTCGCACTGCCAGGGTCAGCATCTGAAGTAGGAAGTCAGCCTCGAGCTGCACAGGGCTCCCCTCTGGAGAAGCAGCCCTGCTTTGGTCCTGGTTAACAAATTAAAAGGGAGCTCCTTGGGCACAGGAGCTCTGCCGTTTGTCCTGTTCAGCTGTTACAGCGGCTCTCTGGCATCCTGCTGGTCCAGGCTGCAACTGTAAGCTCACGTGGTGGGTGTTTTTCAATTTTCTGTGTCTAGGACTACTAAAGGAATAGTTATAAAGGGGTCTCAAGCTTAAGGAGTGATTGAGTTACTTGTTGTTGTTGTTGTTGTCTTGTTTCAGCCATTCCAGAATTGTCCAAATTCCCACCTACTTCTTGGGAGTTATCCCAGGCTGGGAAGAACTCCCTAGGGGCAGAATGGATGCCTGTTTTGGAGATAAGGGTATCACGCTCTGGATGATGCTAGAGTGTGCCAGTTCACCTCAGGGCTGGAGAACAGGTCCTGGCACTGTGAATTCAAAAACTGTGTTGTTGATGTAGCTTTGGAGTTAGAGGTGAATGCCCTAAAGCAGATATAAAGATCTGCATAGATTTCGTTTGATAGGAGGAGACAGCTAGAGAAGAGGGTAGATGTGAGCGCTCAAAACTGAGAAAGCAACTGAATTTGTGTTTGTGTATGCACACAAATGAGGTGTGCGATGAAAACCAAGGAGCAAACCTCTGTGGAAAGTTTAGCGAGATGAGGAAATTGCTCCGACATCCTGAAGAGATGGCTGGAAATGCAGAGATAAAGCCATCTTCTTGCCATTCCTAATGACACACTTGCATGTATGTTCCCAAGATCTGAGGCTGGTTCCTTTTCCTACGGAAGTGCTGCCAGTTCAAACTGTTGCCTGTACATTTTGCCTGCATCAGCATGTGCGGTTACCCTGGAAGTGCTTCCGTCAGTTCTGGAAGTGCTTCCTTCAGTTAGCTGGTGTGCTGCTGGTGGCCTTTGGTCTCTGTGCCTGTGCTAGAGAAAGCCACGCAAGCCTGCGGGAATCTGAACAACTGTTTGCTTAGGAAAAGTCTACAGCAGAGCAGTGAGAGCTGACACTGATACATCGTCATTTCTCCCCTGTGTCCTGCTTTCAGACTCAGATGCAGGAATGACAATATGATGCTCTTATGAAGAAAAACACCTTCTCTGCAGGGTGGCCAAAACTGGTCTTGCGATTAATATGGAGGCAGATGCTTACCTTGACTGAAGGGAGAAGGAGGATGGAAAGAGAGAGAAGTGTCTGCTGAATTAAAAAAGAAAACAGTGACTTGGTTGTTAGAATCCCCTTTGACACCTCTGACCAAGTTACTATATTGCCTTATTTCCTAACTGTGTCTACCTCCATGAGAAGACTTTTTAATGAATTGGTGATGGCAAAGCCTGTTAGCATTTGAACACAAGCCATGGTTCATTAATAGTGGCAAAATTTATTAAGAAGCTGTGTCTTGATCCTCAGAAGTTACCTTGTTGTGAGTAAGCCCAAGTGTGTGGTGAGGCCACCTGTAAGAATTCCAGGTCTTGTAAAGGTTGCAATAACTGCAAAATTGGTGGCAGTTACATGTACCTTACTGTTGTTGCAGATCCCTTTGAACAGTTGATTGCTGGTATTACTAAAATTCTGGCTCTGATCTGCCAGTGTAGCCTGTCAGGCAGAAGGGACTATCGTATCACAGACTTTTCTGTGGTATTTGCTGAGGAATAGTCTCAGGCAAACTATGTGGTGGTGGGGCCTACTGAGGCAGTGTAATTCCTGTTGAGCCCCATTCAGCACTCACTGGTCTCACAGGGAAGTTGGCTTAACCTTTCAACTGCAGCTTTTTTTGCCTATCATAAAAAATAAGATTCCCCTAAGAAATATGAGCTGCTAGCATTTTGGGATTTCTTCTTCCTCCAGTCATTTACCAAAAAAAAAAAAGTGTAACCTTGAAAATACTGCTGAGTATTTGGGATTATGTCCCATTTCTTTCAAGAGGTTTGTTTAATTTTGCATATGTGAAAAGGGTGTCATCTTTGCCACTGTGTCGGTACCCACTGATTTTCCTTCCTCTGTGTTTCAGCAGCCACCCCATCATCACCTCCTGCTCCACCAGCTCTTTCTCCACCGCCCGTTCCCACGAAGGCCTCTGCAGGCACCACTGATCCTGAAGAAGCAACCAGGCTGCTGACCGAAAAGAGGCGCCTGGCCAGGGAGCAGCGGGAACGGGAGGAGCAGGAAAGGAGGGAGAGAGAAGAGCTTGAAAGGTGATCCAGACCTCTGCACTGGACAGCATATGTTTCTAGTGCCCTCCTAGCAGCTTCTTGTGAATGTTCTCGTTACACTGCTAATAGTGCTAATGTGCAGGAGACAAAAGTTTCCCCCAAAGAGCATTTCCTGTTGGAATTTTTCATATAAGTAATATATACCCAAGTAGATTCATAAGGTTAAAATCCTATGCCAAATATGTTTCATGTATCAATAAATGTGTTTTATTCCTGCTTTAAAGTAGAGAGTGGCTGGAAAAGAGAGAAGGCCTCTGGCGTAGGGATCCATTGTTTTCTTAGAGAAACTTAGAGAACAAAGCTGTACATTACAGCAGCTAGTGAATTGCACTTGGCTGTTTTCATCTTTACCACTATGATTATCTTTTGTTCTGTACACCACAAAATCTCTGCTATGGATGGTGTTCAAATGTCAGTCAGCTGTGATTTTTACCTCTTCCTACATTATAATTTAAAATCTAGACTTCCTTGGGATCAAGACCTGTCTTGGAATTAGAGGATGTGCTGTCTCATTTTATGCCAGCAAAGGAGTAGCCTGTCTGGCCACTTGGGCTGTGTGATAGCCACAGTCACAAGCTGAGTGCCTTGCTAGAGGGAAGTAGTGTGGGTAATATCAAAGACCAAGGGGAGAAGTTATTCATTCCCATAATACAAGGACAGAGGGTATCAAATGAGACTAGGAGTTGACAAGTTCAACAAATCAACAAAAGTAGGTACATTTTAAATTCAAGAGTCATTGCCACAAGATAAGGCAAGGCATCAAAAATGTACACTGCTTCAAAATATGATTAATTGAAATCATAGCAGAGAGATCTTTCAGGATGTATTGGAATCACAGACACTGTCTCGATTAAGAAAGTTCATGAGCTGGATATCAGTGGAAGTCAGTATTGGCATAGGTTTGCCCACTTCCTGATTTTTCCACAGGTCTCCAACTTCATCTCTTTCTGGAAGCAGGGCAGTCAATTTAGTTTGACCAGGTTCTGGTGTTTTGGCGCTCTTATGAGTGAAACATCAGTGAAATTTTTATCTAATTCTTCAGTAATCCTGGTGTCTTGGGTCAGTAATCTGCATTTTTTTTCTTGTGTTTCCTTCATGACTGCAGGCAAAAGAAGGAAGAATTGTCCCAAAGGATAGCTGAAGAAAGAGCCCGCCGCGAAGAGGAAGAAGCTCGCAGACAGGAAGCAGAAAGAAAGCGAAGGGAGGCAGAGGAGGAGCGGGAAAAGGTAGAGCGGCTGCGCCGACAGGCACAAGAGAGAGAGCAGAAGGAGAGAGAAGAGATGGAGCGTGTTCAGAAACAGGTACGCTGCCCTCCTGCCATTTGTGTGCCAGCCTAGGTGGCAGGAGAGCGAATGAGTAACTGCTGAGTACATCTAGATACAGTTCTAGCTTAAAGGGCTGTCTAAAATTAAAGTACTTTAGAGAGCAGGTGGGGTTGCGTTTGACTTCATATTGTGGTGTGATTCAGACAACAGAGAGATTTCTTCCAGTATGTTGGGCTGTTTGTTTTTTTCTTTTCTTTTCTTTTTTTTTTCCCCTCATGTAGAACTTAGAACAAATCTTTTCCTAACAACTGATAAAACATTCTGTAAATGATTTATCAATAGAGTTGTATTGTGGGAACTTAACGATGGTGGTATGCCAGAGAAATATTTGTCCCCCCAAGTCTAGATGTCAAGATAACTTAATATTCAGTATCTTGGAAACATAACCCTAATGCATTTCAAGTCTCCTGCCCAGTAGAGCTTTTGTGGAGCAGGGAGGTATGGTTACGTTTTGATAATTTTGCTCATGCCAAGGAATGCCTTTCATCTTTTACAGTCTTTTTGAAAGCTGTGCAACTTCTTTAAAAAAAAAAGAAAGAAAGAAAGAAAGAAAATGAATCAACCCAGTTTTTCAGCATGCTCTCATTTCTATTTGTGTGGTGGATGTAATGTTAATTTGCTAATTTCAGGGGGGGCTGTTGTAGGTATTTTGGAGATTCTTCTTCTTTCCCTCTTTTTCATACCCTTTCATCTCCAACTGAGCTCCAGCGCTTCAGTCTGCTTTATAGATGTTTTTTCTGATATATAATTAAATGTATGCCTTGAAATTAAATGCTTAAAGGATTACTTAAGGAACATAACTTAATCTCAGGGCAGTTTTTCCCCTGCCCTCTCCAAGATGTATGCCGCTCTCTTTGCAAAGGTCTACTGAATTGGGGTATATCCACAGTGTTTTCAGTCTTTGTGATAGTCTTAATTAATGAACTGTTATAGTAGTCCTGCAGGTGCTGCAAGCGTGTGTAGCTAGATAGATACTAATGTGAATCTGTCTTCAAGTAGTAATTTTTATTTTATTTTTTCAAAACCACGAACTCAGAAAGAAGAGGAAGCTCGCCTACGGGAAGAGGCAGAGCGGATTCGATTAGAACGTGAGAAACATTTTCAGAAAGAAGAGCAAGAGCGCTTAGAAAGGAAAAAGGTAAGTCAATACACAGAGAAAAAATATAATTCATTTTATCTTAGCAGTTTGCTTCCACCTTAGCAGCAGAAAGTTATATAAGATGTTAATGTGTCTTAAGAAAAGATATAAAGTCCTCATCTGCACTGCTGGTGTGATAGGGGACAGAATCTTGCCAAGAGTAGTAAGTCATTTGCCTTTCTGTCGTAGTCAGATGCAACTTTAATAAATGACAGTTATGTTTTGGGAGATATTTTTTTAATAAATCTCAGCAAACATTTTTACCCTCTTGCATTTCTTTCTAGAGGCTTGAGGAGATCATGAAGAGAACTAGGCGTGTAGAAGCTGTAGATAAGGTAGTGCTACTTCTTAACATATGTGTAAATATTGGACATCTTTTGTGTCTTTTCTCTAGTGCCGTTTTGAACTTAAAAAAAAAATATGCTTCCTTTGTAGAAATCTAATGACCAGCAAAATGGACATATATCAAAGGCAAATATTACCGGAGAAACAGGTAATTGTGTTTAACTGTGCCTAAAGCACAACAGGTGAATAAGTGGCTATTAAGCGCAATGACTTTAGATAGAGTTCTGAAACTTGGCAGACTAATTGCCATAAAAGTCAAGAAAATCGCTGGAAGATTATAGCTGGAATCTTAGCAAACATTTATTATTTCTAATTTCTGTATAGGTAGCTAGCCATTACTAAATGTTGGCTTTTTTAGAAGTCTTGTCACGATATTTAATAGGGAGTCATTAAGTTTAATTATTTATAAAATACAAAGAAATAAATTAACTAGGTTAACTTTAGCGGTTTAATCATTGATTCTACAGTTTGTTTTACGTAGTATTACAGATGTGGTGACTGCAGTCTTATTTCTTTTTTTTTTCCTAAGAATTATCTAAATAAACTGTTTATAGTCCTTAACTAGCCCATGACTTCTCTCCCACATCTGTCACCTCATTCACTTGGTCTTAATTTATATTTCTTTTGTTTCAAAATTCATCTCGTGCAAAAATCCAGGTCTTCCCAAATTCTTACCCTCTTCTGTTCGGTTGTTTTCTGGTCAAGTTTTATCTAGAAGTTGTTACTTAAAGGAGATAAAATGAAGCTTTGCTTTTATTCAAGCATTACCAAGTAAAAGCTAGCCATATTAAATGTTGCTTAAGTCAAACTATTAAGTGGCTTGGCCTATCATAACATAATATATTAAAAATTGATCATTGTTTCTCTCTTTATATATATACGTGTGTGTGTATATATATATATATATATGCATATGTATTTATACACTCATACACATATTTGAGTTGAATAACAGGGAGGACAAATAGCAGTGTTTGCTTATCCTGATTTATTTTTCTTGTTGCTTATGAATGCTATGATGTTAAGTTAATGTTATAATTAGAGCTGCTGGGACATTCTTGACACTGAATTCATTACACATTTTTGGAAATTACTTGCTTACACATTTTCTTTAGCAAGAATAACAGTGCTTGTGAACAGTGTCTCAAAACAGAGTGAGAGTTCGTAACCTGCGGTTAGCTCCTTCCCTCCAAAGGTAGAAAACACGAAGGCAGTTTTCTGAGGCCTAGGAGGAATTTAGGCTTCTTATTTTTCCAGTCCCCAGCGTGGACTGGAGCCCCTGAGTGACTGGGTAAACAGAAAAGTGCCCACACCCTGATGGCTACTCTGCACTTTTGCTTTGCTTTTATTTATTTTGTTATTTTTTTGCTATGCTGTTCAGTTAAAGATGCAAATTAATTAAAGCCAACTCTAACTTCCTGCATTAAACTCCCACAGATGACTTCAAACTATGTGCATTTTTTTGTTTGTTTGTTTGTTTTTTCAGTCTTACTGTTTGGCAAAGCTTGAAGATTTTGATGGACTGGACAAATCGTACAATAAATAAAAAATCCTTCACCTATTACCATTTGTTAGGTTTCTGCTCTATAATGGGAGATATTTCTGCCTTTCCAAAATGGAACTACCAGACTTGTTTTTAAATATTAAATACTGTACCCATTTGTAGAAGCAGCGAAACTTAAATTGCTAATATCTTCTAAGAGCATGCTGAAAATGACATTTACCATAAGAGACTTAGCCCTTTTTTTTTTTTTAGCACGTAGCAAAATGGAAGCAACTGGAAGGTCTGAGATTTTGGGTAACCCTGCTGAATATGTCCAATCCCATGAATTCTCCTGTGTCCTTGAGATATTGCGACAGGTGATAGGGTAGAGAGCAGTTGCTGCTGTTCATTGAAAAAGCTGTATGTGATTTAGTATGACTGTAGATAGAATATAGAGGGCTGTAGTTACAGGCTAAAAGAACTGAAGCAGGTCAATACCATATATCATCTGGTCTTTATATGAGACCCAAAAACATCCTAATTTTGTATTGTTCTGTACAATGTAGAGGCTTACTGCTATTTCGAAGAAATAACTTTCTCATGGAACTTTTCTCTCTTCAATTCCTTTTGGGTAACAGTCGGTGATCACTGAGAATAAGAATACCAGTATGAAATTGTTGATGTCCCAGTTTACTTCTCTTATGCTGCTTTAAAAGTGTCAGCATAATATGTAGCCAGATCTTGGCAGTCCATTTTAAAAACTATATACTGGAATATACTGGAATTTTCTATATCATTATAATTTGAAGATTCTTGACTGCAAAGGCCACAATTCAAATCTAAAGCTTTTTACTTTAAACCCTATGTCTACTGTGTGCTTGTGTGCTTCAAAACTTGACTGGTTGCAGGGAAGCATTACATTTATTTAAGAATTTGATTTTCCTTGACTTTTGCAGGAAATACTTAGTCCTACTTTGTGGATAGATGTTGTTAGTTGGTTTTCTGAAAAGCCTCTTTTCTTTCTGTAGTCGTAACAAGTCCCGCATCTCCCCTGGAAGCCCCGGTGGGACTTCAGCCCGCGGCGCCGTCTCCGCACAACGGGAGACCCGTAGCCTGCGCGCACGTAATGGGGTCACATCCAGCCCCCATCAGTATGGACAGGTAAGAACAACGAGGAGGACTAGAGGGTATTTAGAGCATGAAGGATACTAAAGTAATAGATTATTTTCTGAAATCTCTATTCAGTTAATGAACAAATGAAAAACAGCTGTCAATCTGCCCTATTTCCAATTTATTTTTATCATTCACTGTGTTCAGAAGAGGAAAACTTGATGGTCTTTCAATTAGCAGTATTCCAGTTTTGACAAGTGGCATGGAAGACCTGTCTGGTGGTGTGTGATCCGATTGTTCTGTGAGTGTTTGGGTT